GAGTTAATGCTGGAATGAGTTAAGACTTTGAGAACTGTGGAGAAGGAATGACTGAATTTTGGAATGTGAGGACATGCGACTTGGGATGGGCCAGGGACAGAATAATATGATTTGGATTTGTGTCCCACCCAAATCTCATGTCAAATTGTAATCCCAAGTGTTGGAAGTGGGGCCTGATGGAAGGTGATTGGATCACAGAGGTGGATTTCTCCCTTTGGTACTCTTCTTGTGATATAGTTTTCACTTGACTTGGTTGTGTAAAAAGTGGGTAGCTCCCCCCAGCCCTCTTCCTCCTGCTCCACTCATGTAAGACATGCCTGCTTCTCCTTTCCCTTCCACCATGTTTGTAAGTTGCCTGAGGCCTCCCCAGCCATGCTTCTTGTACATCCTGTACAGAATCATGAGCCAATTATACCTCTTTTATTTATAAATTGCCCAGTCTCAGGTATTTCTTTTTAGGAGTGTGAAAATGGACTAATACAAACTGAAAAGTTTCAGCTCCCACAGAATTATAAGTATAGCCTAAGTCTGTCAAAAAACCCCCCCTGCTTTTTGATTATTGATCTTTGCTCTTCCCAGCATCCCTGTCTCAGCATTCTGCCTAGCCTTTTCCTGATGTTCAAAACTAGGCACTCATTTTGTCACCAATTCTCAACCCTGAATTGCATTACTCATTTGCTTTCTCTACCCTAACTTTCATGCTGTATAATTCTGAAAAAAGAATCCTGAAAATGAGCAGACATGACCCATTATCACATTAATACTTTACACTTACGTATTTTATTCATTTGCTTGTTCTTTAAAGAAACATCTGCCCACTGTCTACCCTGTGTGTGTTTGGACCTGGGGTATACCATATAAACTGGCAGTAGGATCTGCCTGGAGAGTAGGCAGAGAAAGTACTCCAGCCTATGTGGAATGGAGGTTTGGCACACATGACAGCTGCAGCAGAAGACAGGCATAGGTGCCCATCCCCCAGGGCTCCCCTTTTTCCTCTGAGTAACTCTAATCCCAGTTGACCACTGGGTCAAGAGAGCAGGGCTCACTTTCTAGTGAGAATGTGGCATGTTGGTTCTGCAGGCATTCTTGCCCACCAGCCCCTCCCAAGACCTCTGCCCAGTTGCTCTAACAGTGCAACTGAGTACAGTGCAGCCTCCACTGCCCAGTATGGATGCTTTACCAAAAGGCCAACCTGAGTACTTTCTCAGAGGTCTAGAAGCACTTTGAATCCCCTAGCACAGTTGGTGCTATGCCAAAGGCGGCCAAAAGATGGAGTGTTGTGGTCCAGTCCCAACGGCCCAGGGCTGCAGCATGCAGCTTGGGAATCTTGAGCCAAGATTTGTGGCCAGTGCTTGAGCAGGGAAGGATCCCACACTCTCAGAAGACAGAGAAAAGTGAGACACACTGGCTTGTGAGCCAGCACCAGAGAAGGGCATCTCTCCCTTTACAGCAGCAGTCCCCAACCTTTTTAGCATAGGAACCAGTTTTGTAGAAGAGAATTTTTCCATGGATGATGTATGTTGGGGACGAGGGGATGGTTTCAGGTTGAAACTGTTCTACCTGACATCATCAGCCATTGGATTATCATAAGGAGCATGCAACCTAGATCCCTCCCATATGTAGTCCACAATAAGGTTCATGCTTCTATGAGGGTCTAATGCTGCTGCCGATCTGTCAGGAGACAGAGCTCAGGTGGTAATAATGCTCATTTGCCCACTGCTCGCCTTTGGCTCTGTGGTCCAGTTCCAAACAGGCCATGGACCAGTAACAGGGACTGGGGAACCCTGCACTACAGAACCGGTCCAAGAATGCTGTGTCCTGTCTGCAGGCCATGGCATCTGCCTGAGGGAGCCCTGCAGCCCAGAAGACCTAATAAAGAAAACACAGGATCAGTGCCAGTGATCAGAGGGGGCTTCCTCAAAGCCGATGAACAGACCTGGTGAGAGGGTTATCTGTCTCCCCGTCTTACCACAAAGCACTGCTGCAAATGCACTGAAATACAAAAAAGCTGTGCAGCTGATTAAGCGCCTATCTGCTGGCCATTACTCTTATGCACCATTTACTGGATTACAGCCCAAATTACAACAGCAAAAATAATCTGCCAATATACATCACTTGTGGAAACAGGGGCAAGAAGCCGGCCACAAATAAAGATCCTGTATAGAGCCTTGGCCCTCTGAAAGCAACCAGAAATGAAACCAATTGACTATTCTCAATTTACGCCACAGTTAAAAGAACACCACTTCTTTCAGATGAGAATCAGTGAAAAAACTGGCAATTCAAAAAGTGAGAGTGATTCTTTTCCTCCAAACAAGCCCCATGCAAGTGTGAAATCCAGTAGGGCAGTCATTAAACCTTAATGTTCCAAAATGATCTGTGACTCTATTTCTCACATCTAGGTCATGCTGATGCAAGAGGTGAGCTCCCATGGCCTTGCGCAGCTCCACCCCTGTGCCTTTGCAGGGTACAGTTCCCCTCCTGGCTGCTTACACAGGCTGGCGTTGAGTGTCTATGGCTTTTTAGGCACATGATGCAAGCTGTCAGTGGCTCTACCATTCTGGATCTGGATGATGGTGGCTTTCTTCTCACAGCTCCACTAGGCAGTGCCTCTGTGGGGACTCTGAGTGGGAGCTCCAACCCCACATTTCCCTTTCACATTGCTCTAGCAGAGGTTCTCCATGAGGCCCCACCCCTGCAGCAAACTTCTGCCTGGACAGCCATGCATTTCCATACATCCTCTGAAATCTAGGCAGAGGTTTCTAAACCTCAATTCTTTGCTTTTGTGCACCCCCAGGCTCATGTGTAAGCCACCAAGGCTTGGGGCTTGCACCCTCTGAAGCCACAACCTGAGCTGTTTGTTGGCCCCTTTTAGCCACAGCTAGAGCTTAAGCAGCTGAGATGCAAGGCAACATGTCCCAAGGCTGCATAGAGCAGGAGGGCTCTGGGCCTGGCTCAGAAAACCATTTTTTTTTTCTCATAGGCCTCCAGGGCTCTGATGGTAGGGGCTGCTACAAAGGTTTCCGACATGCTCTGGATACATTTTCCCCATTGTCTTAGTGATTAGCATTTGGTTTCTCATCACTTTTGCAAATATCTGCAGCCAGCTTGAATTTCTTTCCAGAAAATGGGGTTTTATTCTCTAATACATCATCAGGCTGCAAATCTTTCAAACTTTTATGCTGTTTCCTCTTCAATATCTCGCTGCTTAGAAATTTCTTCCAACAGATACCCCAAATCATCTCTTTCAAGTTCAAAGTTCCATAGATCTCTAGGGCAGGGCAAAATGCCACCGGCCTCTTTGCATGGCAAAAGTGACCTTTACTTCAGTTCCCAAAAATTCCTCATCTCCATCTGAGACCACCTCAGTCTGGATTTTATTGTCTATATCATTATCAGCATTTTGGTCAAAGCCATTCAACAAGTCTCTAGGAAGTTTCAGTTTCCCACATTTTTCTATCTTCTTTTGAGCCTCCAAACTGTTCCAACCTCTGCCTATTACCCAGTTCCAAATTCACTTCCACTTTTTCAGGTATCTTTACAGCAGCACCCCACTATCTGGTACCAATTTACTATATTAGTTTGTTCTCATGCTGCTGATAAAGACATGCCTGAGGCTGGGTAAGTTATAAAGGAAAGAAGTTTAATTGACTCACAGTTCCATGTGACTGAAGAGGCCTCACAATTTTGGCATTAGGCAAATGAGGAGCGAAGTCACAACTTGCATGGCGGCAGGCAAAGAGAGCATGTGCAGGGGAATTCATCTTTGTAAAACCATCAGATCCCATGAGACTTATTCATCATCATGACAAAAGCACAGGAAAGACACCCCCATGATTTAGTTACCTCCCATCAGGTCCCTCCCGCGACATATGGGAATTATGGCAGCTACAGTTCAAGATGAGATTTGGGTCAGGACACAGCCAAACCATATCAGATACTATTTATTTATTTACTTATTTATGAGATGGAATCTCACTCTGTCACCCAGGCTGGAGTGCAGTGGCGCAATCTTGGCTTACTACAACCTGTGACTCCTAAGTTCAACAGATTCTTTTTCCTCAGCCTCCCGAGTAGCTGGAACTACAGGTGTGCACCACCACACCCAGATAATTTTTGTATTTTTAGTAGAGATGGGGTTTCACCAAATTGGCCAGGCTGGTCTTAAACTCCTGACCTTATGATCCACCTGCCTCAGCCTCCCAAAGTGCTGGGATTAGGGCATGAGCCACCACACCTGGCCCAGATACTGTTTTTTTTTTTCATTGCAGTTGGTAAGTGTCTGCCGGGGAAATACCATAAATATCTTGCTTCTCATCACATTTTTACTCTCTTAAGTTTAGCATCCATTGATGATTCTTTCCTGAAACAAATTATCAAAAAGTTTACCATGTAGTGATTTTACTATTTACATCATTTCTTCTATGTCTCTTAGTTGGCATTTTACCATAATAAAGAGTTTTTCCATCCTCTTCATTTAGTTTTGTATTCATTTGTTAACTTACATTAGTATAGACTTACAGAATCTTATTTTGTTCAATTGATTATGCATCAGAATCATTATTTATTTTGTTGCTTTTTTTTCTTAAATTGTGCAGATGGTAAAATTGGATGGGTGGCAGAGATGACACTGAGTACTCCTGTTTCAGTTTGGGGGTGTGCCAACCAGCAGGCCCAGAGGATAAGCATTCATGTGGTTTACACCAGTTTAACAAGGACCAACATGAAAGAGAAAAGTTGTAGATTACTCTAAAATATATTGTTTCCTCTCTGTTTCAGGAAATAAAAAGGGTCAGTTGGAGGTAGCGTAGTCATTAAGGCCACTACAACTTCCTCTCTTAACCCAGCAGCTGGAGATGTTTTGCTGCAGACACACAGTTTGAACATAAAAGGGAAAGGAGAGTCAGTATCACTGTGTTGGCACAAGATGGCAGCAGTCAGCCACTGATTTTGCAGCTCAAGGCCTACAGATTTTAAATTAATGGTGTCTTTTGTCTTTGCAGAGACTTCAGTACTAGTGCTACTACCATTCAGATTGATAAAACCAAGCCTTTGTGGCACAACTATTTCTTATGTGGACTTAAAGGAATTCAGGTAAATTGGCTTATAAGGCACTTACTACCAGTTGAGATTATCATGTGTGTTCTGTCAAATTTATTTTATTTACCACATCTTTTTCATCTCCTTACAGTACTAACTGATGCTTCTATATTATTTTACTAGTTTGTATTTCAGAGAGTGGGGAAGATATGACTGTTTTGGGGTAGTGTTCACAGGGTGCAGTAGCTGTTATATAGCTCGCTCTCCATAAATAGGTGCATGTGACAAACATCTGTCTGGTTTAAAAATCTTTGTTTTAACATACCTTTGAGCATATGTTTTAGTACTATTATTGACATTTATATTTCTGACGTATAGGGGTATGCTGTAACAAGATTTAGAGTCAGCCAGGTTTGAATCTGGACTCTTCCCAGCTACAGTAAATTTAACCTTTGAAGTCTCAGATTTATCTGTAAAATGATGTCATTGCTATCCTGACAAAGAGTTGTTAAAAGAATTACATAAGGTTTGATGGTAGCCATTTAATAAATGGTAGCTAGCGTTGTTATTGCTACCTCAGATAGGGTTAAAAAAAGACATAATGAAATGTATTAGTATAAGTGTTTTCCTAGAAACATTGAATAATTACTTTGAACATCTCTAATGTTATGTATAAGAACAAGAAAATAAAATGTTTCCATTCCCTTTCATAATTGAAAAAGTATGAAGGACCAAAAGAAAATTGATATTTGCTGTTTTTAGAGCCATTTTATATTGCAATAATTATTTAAGACGTAGTGACTTGTATAGAACCATAGGTGGAATAAGAAGATAGATTTTTCCTTTGTGAGCTAAAAGTAAACAAACAAATTGACCCGTGTTTTAGAAAGCTTGTGTTCCTTACTGCCTGGCAGTCCTATCTGAAACTTTGTAATGAGCAGCTAGGACTTAGTGACACATCCGTTACAGAAATATATCAAATTTATTTCTAATGTGTAGTCCTGTACTCTAACAGTGGTGGTTTTTGTTCTTAGAGTTAATGAATTCATTTCTTTCTTTCTTTTTTGTTTTCCTTCCTATCAGACACATAGTAATAACTTACAGGAAGAGTTATTGGCAGATTTTAAATCTTCAAATCATCTGGCTTATCATATGTATTAGTGGGAATTACAGTATTTGGAATCATTTGCCTGGCAAATACAATTTTGATCTTCTTTGTAACAACATGCCTTTTTGCAGCATATGGGTAAAGTAGCCTATATAATGCATGTTGTTTAGTGTTATTTTTGAGCATTTCAGGTTGTAAAGCCTTCCTGTTTGGTTTGACAACTTATGTGCAAAACCAAACTTATACAATGAACGTTTGGCAGAAAAATAATTTAAATATTAGCCTATTTAGAAAGCTTCAAATTCAAATACTAGAAAGTTTCAGAGGATAATCTGTTTATATTAAATTGAACATGTTATCCTTTTGGGATAGAGCTATTACAGAATTGGGCATATACCCATTTGCATCTTGAATTTGTTATACATTTTCATTTAAACATTGCTTGGTAAGTTCTTAAGTATGATTTCCATTCAAGACACTCTGTGGATCAGTTTATAGTTAAATATATAGTATTCTTCAAGTTTTTTGTTTGTTTGTTTGTTTGTTTTAAACAAGCTGTCTGATATTCTGTATGAAAGGGCATTGGCAACAGTAGAGTTTCGGTTTATAATCTGTCTGTATTTCTGGAAAGAAATTTTTAGATGACTTGAAATCAGGAATAGAAGTACACCCAACTAAATATGTTCTTATTGTGGTGCTGGAGTTTTGCCAGCTAGAAAAGACAGACAAAAAATTAAGCAAAAAAGTATTTTATCTGTGGAATTTTGTTGTTAGTTATTCTAGCTAGTTTATTAAAATTCTCCCTTGTATAATATGTATGATGAAATGCATAATTAGGTAATAGTATTTCATACTTTGGTCTTCAGTCATTTGAGAAATTTGCAAAGACTCTGGTACTTTTCCTTGAGAAGGAGGTATATTTGAATTTATTTTTAAACTTAAACCACAAAGGTTATGATATGATATCATCCAAAGTGTCCTTGTGTTAGATATTCATGTAAGTATACTAGAGCTTTCCATATTTAAATCAGAATCTGATTATTTCTTTGGGCTTTCCTCTTTGTAGAGATAGTGTTTCCTTGACTTGTTTAGGGTCTGCATTTTTATTTGTGGCTGAATTCTAATTTGACTATCTTTAAAGCTATCATAAGGCTAAACTGTATCTATAAACTGTAGTAAAAATCTGGATTTTCTCATATAGCTGGCATATTAAATCACAATGATGGCTTGCTGGCTCAGGTTTCTAACTGCAGTGGAGAAGTTTTCAAACAGGAATCAGAGACCTGGGCCCTATTTTCATCTCTTTATGTGTCATCTTGGGAAAGTTTCTTAATCTCTTGGTGCCTAGGTTTTTTCATAAGTAAAACATAACTGAGAAAGTTTGGAACTCTTGTTTTTTTTTTTCAGAGAACCTTCTGAAGTAAGGCACTCCACAGAAACAAGTCACTGTGGCCGGGTGTGGTGGCTCACACCTGTAATCCTAGCACTTTGGGAGGCTGAGGTGGGTGGATCACCTGAGGTCAGGAGTTCAAGACCAGCCTGGCCATCATGGTGAAACCCCATCTTTAAAAAATAAAAAAATAAACAAACAAACAAACAAACAAACAGATAAAAGAAACAAGCCACTGTTTGGGGACTGGATCCTTATAATAACAGAATGCTAGAGATATGCTGCACAGAGATTTAACTTACCTCACAGATAATTGTAAATTTCTTGTCTTGCTACTTGACAAGTTGAATTATAATTGTTTCATATTTTTTCCATATTTATTCAAATCAATTAATACTCAATAAAAAAAACATTCAAGGCAAGAAAATTAAAGGCATTTAAAGTAATTACCCTGTGGCCAAGCATCATTAAATAAAATGTCATGTATACTCTCAACTAAATTGAATTACACAAGTAGTTTCTATAAATATTATAAGTCTATTGATAGGCTTTTGTTCTATGGGGAACGAAAGGTTTCACTACCTCCTTAAATTCAATACTGAATTACTGTTGCTGTTTTTCCTTATATTCTTAGGAACACTTTGGTCTTAGTAACCTGACTGGAATGAACTGCCTGGTAGATGGAAATATCCCACCAAGTTCTGGTCTCTCCAGCTCCAGTGCTCTGGTCTGTTGTGCTGGCTTGGTGACGCTCACAGTGCTGGGAATGAATCTATCCAAGGTAACTACCTTTGATAGGAGACCTCATGGAAACCTCTCCTTCTAAAATCATTAGCATCCAAATCTCAAAATCTGAATGCCTTCCTTGATTGAAAAACTTTGTCTTCCCTAAAAGGACTGCACATGTGGACAAGCATTGTAACTTAACAAGTAATAAATCACTATAAAGTAGCTTATACCCTCCTAACAGTGAGTGAATGTGAAAAACTGCACAAAAATACTTTGTTTTAAATATGGGATTTGAATGCATGGGTATTGTTTTAGATCACCTCATTAACAAGTTAAATTTAGGGCAAGAAATTCTTCCCCTCATGGCTGAGCCTGCTTATTTTCACCCAAAACCTTAAATTAAAAATTTGACAAGTAGTGGGTAACAAGGGTAAAGACCAGCTAATAAAGGAACTAAGTAGCATAACTGTTTATGTCAGCAGATTAGTCACTGAAATAAACTTTAAAATACATTACAAAGAGGAAATGCTTATTTAAAGGAAATATAAATCCTACAAGAGGTCAGAAAGCCTCAACTTTGTAAGTTCACATAAATCTCTGACTTTGCAGTTTACAGCAGGTGTGCTCAGCTTTAATTAATGCTTTGGCATTCTGGTTCAAATAAAATGTTATCGTAGGTTCTTTTTACCCCACGTACATACGCTACCAGGTTTACAGATGGTTCGATCAGATCAAGAGAAAGTCAGCCACATGCTTAGTCTCTTTCAAGGATGTTTAAACTTTCAGTTTGAAAATTTTATATATAGGAAAAAAGGCAGAAATGAAAGAGAAAGCAAAGGTTCAGACAGAATTCTTTTTAGCTGTCCTGTGTAAGTGTACATTGATTAGCCCTTAGTAAGCAATGGCTTGTAGGGAGGGAAAGAGGGCTTACATATTATTATTTTTTGGGAAGAGAAAAAGCAAGGGATAGAAAACCCATATGTAAAATATGTTTCCCTGGTACAACTTTGTATCTGATTTGTTTATTTATTAATTTGTTTATCATTCAACCATTATTTATTTAGTGGCTATTTTGTGCCCCATAATGTTCAAGGCATTGGAGATATAATAGGTATAGTCTCAACTTTCACTATGCTTATAATCTGAAAGAGAAAAAGAGACAAGTAAATAGGCAACTGCAATAGAGTATAGTAAGTGGATAAGTAGTTTGCTATGGGACCAGTTATAACCCAGATTTAGAGAGCATAGGGCATCTAAATGGAGACACCAAGGATTAAAGGAGTTGTAGATATTGATGGTATAACACTGATAACATCAGATAATCATGTATCAGGTGGAGAGAACATCATGTGGAAATATCCAGAAAAAAAAAGCAAGTATCCAGAAAAAAGCAGTCATGGCTTGCTGGAGTAACTAAAAACGTCTCAGTATGGCTGAAGCATACAGCAATTTGGGTAACACGGCAGGGGATCAGATGGATGCTTTTACATTTCGTTGAGGAATCCAGGCATCCTCTTCATAGCTGTGGGAAACCATTGCAGGGTTTTAGGAAGAGGGTAATGTGATCCTACCTGTATTTTAGAAAGATCTCCCTGGCTGTATTACAGTCTGCATTTCAGGGTTTTAGCAGTAGGGAGATGACTTGGTCTAGGGAAGTGGCAATGAGAATGGTTAGAATTAGATAGATTCAAGATCTCAGAATCAGTAGTCATGGATTGGACATGGGAATGGGGAACAGCAAAGAGTCAAAGATTATATCAGTGTCTGGCTTGATAGGATTCACTGGAATAAGAGACATGGGGGAAATAGGTTTGAGTGGAAACTGAAATGTTGAGTGTGAGGAATCTATGAGCATATTGATGGAGTTATTTAGTTATTTAGTTTGGAAAAAAAATATGAAGGCCCGGAGGAGATCTGGACGCATTTGAGAATCATTAGTTTTTCATCGTTTTTGAAGCCATAGGAGTGGACGAAGATACTTGGTGGTGGAATATAGGTGGAAAGATAAGGAAAACTAGGACAGAGCCCCAAGAAGCATGAACATTTGAGGAATGGGCAGAGGAAGAGATGTCTACTGAAGGGACGGAGTAGTAGTCCAGTAGGTAGGAGAAAAGCCAGAAAGGTGAGGCAGCATCAAAGACAAGGAAGATAATGTTTCATGAAAGGAGTGATGGTGTTTTCAAATGCTCTGAGAGGTTACCACAAGTTCTGAGAAGTATCTGTTGAATATCACAACAAAGAAGTACAAAACTTTGGAAAGAGCAGTTTTAGATGGAAATGGGTTGAAGGGTCTATAAAAAGAAAGAAAGTGGTATAAGTTCAATGGCTACGAAAAGTCTGGAGATGCATGGAAAAAGATTATTTGTTATCTAGAGAAGGGTATGAAGTCAAGGAATTCATTTCACTTTTAATGGGAGGATTGGTGAAACTTAGTTTTTCTAATTTTTTTGGTGTTTTGATAATATACATATCTAAGAAATAGGAAGGAAAGAAGATAAAGAAGAAGAAACACTTGAACCTTTGGAATTAATTCTGAGTGTCTGTTTTCAAAGTCAGAAATAGCAAATACATTTTTATCAGAACTATCTTACTGCAATGCCTAAGCAAAAAGGGAACAATATATATATCCTAGTTTCCTCAGCTAGTGTAACATGTACTAACAATGTTTATATTTCCTAAGGGCTGAGTGTAATTATTTGGAAAGTTTTTTTTTCTTTCTGGAGTCAGACAGAATCTTGAATGAAAGGAAGTCTGTAATTTGTTCAGTCTTTACTGTAAATGCCATGTGATTTTACTCTTGTAAAAATCATAGAATATAAGAACTCAAGGGACTTTAGAGATGAGCTAGTTCAAAATCCTCCTTTACTGATGTATTAGTGTTACCATAGGAAACGAATGACATGTTTGGTATAACTGAAGAGAGTTTAATAAAGAGACTTTTACAGAGGTTTGGGTAAGGTCAAGGAAACCAACTAGGAAATGTTCTCTTGTTAAGCTGGAAGCCATTATAGTTTAGGAGCTGTGGATATGGAGTAATGTTGCCAGAAATGCAGCAAGGCAGAGAAAGAATGACACAGGTGAAAATGGCAATGGCGGTGGGAATGGTTGAGGGGAATTGTCCATAGAGGTCAGCCTCCTGTTGTAGGGGAAGTGTGAGAATAGAGGGACAGAGGGACAACCAAAAATAACCAGCCTATTTCATAAGGACACTAAGTCCCACAACAGATTGGTGACTAAAGCCTTTCCTATTATTCTACATTCAGTAAATCCCATTCATTTGCAGACAACAGTTACTGTAGATGGGATCTGATAAGTAGATGTGGAACTTGTAAATTCATTAATAAACTAAATGTTGCATGTCTGAAACCAGAACACAATATGGCTAATCACCCAGAGAATCTGGAAGCCAGAAATTATGAATCAGAATGGTACTAGTCAAAGGGAGTATGATGTGGTAAAGATCTATGAAAAAGGAAAGTCTAGAGACTTCTGATTTCAAGATGTCAGAATAAGACTTATCTATTCCTTTTTCCGTGTCCCTAACTTAATCTTCTTTCCTCAAAAATTATCTCCAAACAACAGGGAAAATAAGAAAAGGAAGCATAAGATGTATCTTTGGTAAACCAAGAGACATAAATAACCATAAACCACAAAATGCAAAGATGGAAAGTGGAGAGAGGAATGGTACATGACTTAGCGGGATGGAGAAAGGTCAGAGCCAAGTGCCTGTGGAGGAAGTTGTAGATGAAAAGGCAGCTGACTCATCCCACAGCTCTCTGGCAAGGCTTAGAAAGAAAGCAGGGTAATATGATAGGTGGGGATTTTTCTGAAAGCCTTTATGAGGACCATTTAGACCCTAAAAGCCATCTCTTCACTTGGGACCACTTCCTTCTACCTTTGCAGGAGTCTCTGGAGAAACAAGCAGAGATCATTTTTTTCTTCAGGACATTGAGCACTGAGAAAGGCAGGATGAGAAATAGACTTGGAAACCGAGAGATTAGAGGACATTCTGCATCTGAACAGTGAAATTCTTAGCTCCCTTCTTCTAGTCATTACTGGCACACTGGTAACCTCACCACCCTACACACCAGCAGGAATGTTGGAGGATCCTTCTCAGAGGAAACTGAACCATCCCAGAGATGGTTCATACAGATACTGACATTTGGTGACCCCCTTCTCCAGCTTCTCTGTGACCCTATTAGAAGCCCATTTACAAAGCTTCTAATCAGCTTTTTAGTGGCTCACTCTTAAATATGATAAGGCATCAAAGGACAGTAAGATTTTGGAAGAAAACCTCCAAAATGAATGAAACAAACAGAAAAACAGAGAAAACAGGAACCTAGAGGAAACAGAGACCATGCTGAGAGCAGAAGAATGCTTCAAAGAAGACATGATGTCCTCAGAGAGAGAAAAGAAAAAGTTACATCCTTGAAAAACAATAGTGTTATTTTTTGAAAAGGAACAAACAATAAGATAGAGTTTTTGCATATTAAAAATATGATAGCGGCCAGGTATAGTAGCTAATGCCTGTAATTTCAGCACTTTGGGAGGCCAAGGCAGGCTGATGATGAGGTCAGGAGTTTGAGACCAGCCTGACCAACATGGTGAAAACTTGTCTCTACTAAAAGTACAAAAATTAGCTGGGCATGGGGACACGTGTGTAATCGCAGCTACTCGGGAGGCTGAGGCAGGAGAATCACTTGAACCCAGGAGGCAGAGGTTGCAGTGAGCCATGATAGTGCCACTGTACTCCAGCCTGCGCAACAGAGCAAGATACTCCGTCTCAATTGAAAAAAAAAATGATAGCAAGACAAAATTTAGTAAAAAGATTGGAAGCAGCTGGGTATTGTAGCTCATACCTGCAATCCCAGCATTTTGGGAGGCTGAGGCAGGAGAATTGCTTGAGCCCAGGAGTTCAAGACTAGCCTGGGCAACACAGTGAGACCTTGTCTCAAAAAAAAAGAAAAAGAAAAGATTGGAAGAACTCTCTGATACAGTAGGGAATAAAAGAGCTAGACAAGAAGAGAGTAAAATAGGAAAATTTATGGATCA